TCGGAAGTCACAAAATTGACACTTGGGTGACGCGTCAGTATATCCCCTAGAAAGACAAAAAATATCTTCAAGGGCAGTCCTCGGCATACTGGGAGTTTCATCGGGGAATGAACGCGGACACTCCTCGAGGATTGATTGGCGAATCCAAGCTGTATGCTGACGATTCGTTTGTGATTACAGTACGCTGTACTCGTTATTGCGCAGTTTAAAGCCCACATTGTGATTGTATAACAATCTTGAATAATGTAAATTACATTTTGACTAAGTCGTATTAATAAACGGAACTTCCATACAATCACAAATATGTATAAGAACCTCTGCATAAGCACGTGTTTACATAAAACAATGTTGCGCCTAAACAAATGCACCTGCTTATTACACGCAATTGGCGCATAGGAAAAAACCGCATTATTCACAGCACATTAGTATCCTTCCTTTCGCCCGTTCTAATTAAACTGAATCGTCAGGCTAGATTTCAATACAGGTCAAACTGTTAGAATACAAGAATGACTAGAAACAAGGGTGAACAAGGGAGATATAGGGTTGGAGTTGTACCCTCTAAGAATACACCTATCTAGCCTATAACTTCTACATACAAATATATGTATAAGTTGACACACCTCCTAGGCTAGATAAGGGGTAGTGTTTGTTGTGATATAATGCATACTTAGCATTTCTGTAAGTCGATTATCGGTAGATAGTGTCGAATCCTACTATAGAATATAAGTCTATGGGATGACGTCAGCAAATAGCGCTCGTCATGAGGACAGTCGTTTCAGTCACGCGAATAGTCGCGTCTCTTCATTATCATTTAGGGCGCATAGCGCGATAGTGACGAACAGGTACATTAGCGAACAGGTACATTAGCGAACAGGTACTTTCCTAGAGCTATAAAATCCTTGTTATGCCTTTCTATTGTTCACCTTGAGATTTCAACTTTGAGACTTTAAACTTGACTTCAACTGAATTATATACTCAGGTTCATTCTTACAAAGACTTCCACTGTCTTACTTGTCTACCATTCCAGTAAAGATCCTAGGCTAACACTTGAGGTTTTCCAAGTGTTTGTGTTTGCAGATTCTACACTTAGTCTCGTGCAACACCTGTCAAATTATTACATGGTATGAGAGCTATCTGGATTTAAGACTACTGTCAACAATGACTGGGACATCACCAGCACCATCTACCGGATCCAGTTCTGGAACTACTGGAGTACCTGTCTCCACGACCGCCACTGGTCTCTCAGCCTCTGGACCGTTTCCACTGGCTTATGCGCACATCAGTATGCAGCAGCAGAATCCGCCTTCTGTCAGTACTCCAGGTGTTTCATCGACTGCACGTACAGCGCAACAACAACAAACACAGGCAACAGCACAACATCAGGCAACAGCACAGCAACAAGCAACACCACAGCAGTTTTCAACACAGTCAATATCGTCAGCGTTTAGTGGAATGAGCCTTGACGGCTCAAGTTACATGCGTGGAGCTTCAGCTCCAAGTACTGGCTCATTTGCCTTCTCGCCGTTTACGCAGCAGCCGCAGTCGCAGCAGCAGCAGCCCTTTTACATCTTCGGGCGATCACCTGCTCAGCAACAACAACAGCAACAGCAACATCAGCAACAACAGCAACAACTGCAGCATCCACAGCAATTCCAGCAACAGCAACAACCTCAACAACAGGGGATTATTTTTCAACCGCCAAATCTACTTACCAGCACGCAGATCAAGACTACTATACCTTTTAACGGAGTTGAATTTTACTCCTGGAGCTTCGAGTTTGAGCTTCTGGCGCAGTTCGCTGGGCTATGGCCGTTCTTCACCGGCGAGTTTACGTATCCTGTCATGGGAACACAACTGGAGCAACAGAGTTTCCTGCACGCCTCTCTCGGGGCGTATACGGTTCTAGTTCGGAACCTGTCGCCAAAGGAGCAGCTTGGCGTTCGATCTTTTCATTCAAGCTTCACGCCAGCTGAAACTGCATGGAACCACTTAAAGGGGGTGTACATGGCAAAAGACACAATAACAGCAAGTAAGATTCTTTCGCAGCTGACAAGTGTGCAGATGATGACAAACGAGAATGTCATGGATTACGTCAATCGTGTTCGCACACTACAAGATCAACTGGAGAAGAGTGGAGGATACTTCCCTCGTGAGATGTATCTCATGGTCCTTCTTGCTGGACTTGGTCCCGAGTGGCGACAGACGCGCGCCTTCTTGCGCATGAATCCGAACCTCTCAGAAACCGAAATTTCGTCGTATCTTCAAGCGGAACAGCAAGATCTTGACCTGCAGTCACAACGCCAATCAGAAGAAAGGATTACAATTAAGTTTTTACTCAAATCCAGAGCCACAAGCAACGACTTCCCCCGAAATATCCCTTCTGCCATTTCTGCAAGAAACCAGGACATACTTACCAAACTTGTCGCAGTCGTTGTCAAAACCGTCGCAGCACTTCGCAACCATATCATCGTTCGCAGCAGTTACCGAAGCCACATCAGCAAATGCAGCAGTCGACGTCCCAGACGCAGCAGATGCCGCAGAGTACACCGCCATCACAGCATCGTCCTCCGGTCTTTGCATCTGCAACATCAGGAAAAGGGGTTTTTGGATGTGTTACAACAGTTGATATTTCAGATACAGATTTCGAGACACAACTTGAAGAAACCACCAGTGCAGAGGGCATTCCCTTACCGCAAGTTTACGCTAACCTTGCTCGAGTCATTTCAGGACCCAATACTTGGTATCTCGACAGCTGTTGCGGTTGGCACATGTGCTCCGCTGAAACAAGCGTCATCACCAACCAGTGTCCTCTTCATCGTCCGATAACAGTCACAGTTGCAAACGGACAAACCATTATGGCAAGATCTATTGGGAGTGTAATACTTGAATCAGTCGACACGGGATATTCCTTACACGTTACCAATGTTCCTATCGTCGCCAGCCTTGGTTTCAATCTTCTCTCCACAGCTCAACTCCTGGCACACAAGATTCGCACACAAGGGAATTGTGATACCAATGGATCAGGAGTTATGGCACAGTTTATCAAATACTTACCTCGGTCGCGCTGCTACTCAACATGGAGTATCAGTTCTTCAGTTCACAGCACAGGGCACCTCTGGTGATTCTGAACGCGTCCTTGGTCTCGGTCCCTGGGGTCACCCAGAAGAAACATATTATATACACGTGGATATTGTTTTTCGGGGCAACTACTGTACCAACAGCTTCTAGAACTGTAGCTGCCGTTCTTACCGCACTGGATACTTGGGAGTTTAATACCGCCGATGAAGGCGCCAATGCTTGGCGAACCTTCTATAACACCCGTGCAGCCTTCCAAGGAACTCCAGCTCCACTTTGGGGAGAAATCAGTGGACTTGCAGCTGATGAACCCGAAGTCGTCGAGGAAGCCGTGAAAGAAGAAGTCGCCGAGCAGCCGAGTCTTCCAGTAGCTGTCGCAGGACCATCTGCCATCAAACTGTAACATCAAAAGAAGCAGTATCAGAAATTGCAGTCGCAAATACAGCAGACACTTCAAATGTTCAGTTACCCCTTACCCGTTTCGTCGAAGGGGAGATTGACATGTCTCCAGCTCTTTCTCCTTTCATCATTTCTTCATTTTATACTAACGCCGACTTTTATCTGCGATCATCAGGACACAAAGCCACATAAGAAATTTGGCACCAACGGTTAGGACATCCATCGCAAGGGATTTTAAATCATTGAATCCGAGCAGCAGTTCTTGATAAAAACAGTCTTCTCTTACCTGACGGCACGGAGATGAAACCGCAGTCTCGCCCAACGGTCTGCACCACGTGTCCGGTCACCAATCTTACCCACGACCCGTTTTCGAGTCATTTTCCTGGCTCCACTCGTTACAAACTGATGCAGAAGGTCTACAGCGATATTCTTAACTTACCTGAAGCAGGACCTAAAGAAGAGCTGTACGTGATTACCTTCATCGAAGCATCTACTCGATATGTTTGGACAGCAAACCTTCCTGCTCGACATCTCGCCCATTCAGTCTTCGTCGCATGGCTCGCCGTCGCTGAAAGAGAGTCTTGAGCAAAACTGCAAGAATTCCAGAGTGATGGCGCAGGGGAGTACACGAGCAACGCTTTCACAGACTACCTCCAGACACTCGGCATCAAACGGAAGCAGTCACTGCCACATGCACACCAACAGATGGGGGTAGCAGAAAGGATGAATCGGACTCTGCAGGAGAAGATGCGTGCTCTGCTGACGCAGGCAGCCCTTCCTCCTCGCTTTTGGCCGTATGCGATGGACCACGCGGTGCTGTTACACAACCTGCTGTCTTCCACATCACTGCCCGAGTTTTCTTCACCTCACCTGCAGTGGACACGAACAGTGGGAAGTACAAAACTTTTACGAGTTTTTGGGTGTGTCGTGCAGTTTCGTCCTCCAACTGCAGCACTCGGCAAATTTTCCGAACGGGCAAAATGGGGGGTACACCTCGGCATCGAAAAATAGTATCATGCATGGAAGATTTTGGATCTTCGTTCAAACCAAATTGTCCCTTCACGTGATCGTCTCTTCTATGAAAGACTCACCTTGCCAGTTTTTCGTGCCCACTAGGCAGCAGCTGCAAACCCTGCCAGGCTGTTCGAAGGCTCGCGTGCATTTGCAACTGACGAAGCCGAAGCTGATGTACAGGACGAGGCGGTTTCTGAAGCTTCCGAAGCTACCGCAACTGACATTCCGAACCTGTCATGTCAACAGGCATCCCGTAATTTATTCCCCTCGCTGATGTTGACCCGGATGACGTTCCCGAAGTCCACCTCAGCTACGAACGCGATCGCCAACAGCAGCCGATGCCACCCGTCTCCGACGAAGCAGTTCGTGTTACACCTAACGAAATTGGGGGGGGGAGAAGGGTCAGAAGAAAATTTCGCAGGTGCAAACGAAGAACGTCCGCGTTTTACAGAAACTGGCTTACAGATACTTGGATTCGCAGTCGCAGTACAGTACAACGACAGTAAAATATCTTAACCGAAAACCGTTCGACAAGCTCTTACGAGTCCTTACCGCGAAAAATGGCGCAAAGCCATGGACAGAGAGCTAGCAGCTCTCAAGACTCGCGGCACATGGGAGTTAGTACCGACATCAGAAGTAAAAGGGAGGAAGGTACTTGCCGGGAAGTGGGTCTTCCGTGTCAAGACTAATGCAGATGGGTCGTTTGAGAAATTCAAGGCGTGATGGGTCATCCGCGGGTTCGAGCAGACTTACGGCATCGACTACGAGTTAACTTTTGCTCCCGTCGGTCGACATACGAGCGTTCGGATTTTACTCTGTGTCGCCGCCTGCCGCAATCTACGACTTCGACAAATCGACGTGGCAAACGCATTTCTCTACGCACCCGTCGACATACTCATTCTGGTAGAGTACCCACATTAGTATACTACTAACCCACCGAGCGTATGCCGTCTCCGAAATTCGCTATACGGCATTAAACAGGCACCCCGGCTATGCAAGCAGTACCTACAGTACATTCACAGCTACTCACTGCTGGATTCCGTCAACTACCGCATGACCAGGGGATGTATCTTTTAACTGACGGGAGCAACTATATTTTACTTGTCGCCTACGTCGACGATATTCTCTACGTCAGTACTACCGACTCGCTCGCCAATACCTTCATACTGAAACTACAGAAAAATCTACAGCTTACCGTCTCCGAGACAGTCTCACAGTTTCTCGGTTTAAATATTACCTACTCACCGACGTCTATTCACCTCACCGCTTCGAAGTACGCAGCGACGCTCGCTGCCCGCTTCAACCTCACTCCTTCTACAGTCACTACACCGTACCGATCACTACCGACAGACTACAAACCGAATACTACACCGTTGAGTCTAACCGACCTACAGACCGATCAACAGCAATTAGGCTGTCTACTCTTCACCGCTGTTACTTGTCGTCCAGATCTAGCGTACGCGGCTAGTCAACTCGCACAGTTCCTACGCCGTCCTGAAGAAGAACACCAACTCGATCTTCTTCGCGCGCTTCAGTATTTCGTCTCGACTCCTGACGTCGGCTTAGTCTACAACGTCGTCGGCTGTAAAACTCTATACCTACACCGTTTCGTCGGCGCCGACCACGCTGCTGATACTACTAATCGGCGCTCGCGTGCTGGATTCATCTACCGCCTTGAACCTATCGGCCCTATTTCTTGGAATTCGATGAAGCAGGAGCGGATTGCTCTCTCCTCTGCTGAAGCTGAATTTATTGCTGTCTGCACAGCAAAACGCGAAGGACTTTACCTGCAGGAGCTCTTGGAAGAAGCAAAGTTGACGACGAGTACTCATATCACTTTACAGTGTGACAACCAGAGTGCAATTCGCATCGCGCATCAACCTGGCTTCGTGAACAGGACGAAACATATTTCACTACGTTATTTTTTCGTCAAGGATGAAGTCGAGAAGGGGAGAATGCGATTGGTCTATTGTTTGACCAACGAAATGGCTGCCGACTTCCTCACGAAGAAGCTGACACGACAGAAGTTTCAGTACTGTAACAAGCTTTGCGGGATCTTCAAGAAGTGACACTGTCGAACTTCCAGAAATGAAGGGGAGTGTTGTGATATAATGCATACTTAGCATTTCTGTAAGTCGATTATCGGTAGATAGTGTCGAATCCTACAGTAGAATATAAGTCCGTAGGATGACGTCAGCAAATAGCACTCGTCATGAGGACAGTCGTTTCAGTCGCGCGAATAGTTGCGTCTCTTCATTATCATTTAGGGCAAATAGTGCGATAGTGACGAACAGGTACATTAGCGAACAAGTACTTTCCTAGAGCTATAAAATCTTTTTATGCCTTTCTATTGTTAACCTTGAGATTTCAACTTTGAGACTTTAAACTTGACTTCAACTGAATTATATACTCAGGTTCATTCTTACAAAGACTTCCGCTACCTTACTAGTCTACCATTCCAGTAAAGATCCTAGGCTAACACTTGAGGTTTTCCAAGTGTTTGTGTTTGCAGATTCTACACTTACTGTAGTCCCCTGCAACACCTGTCAAATTATTACAGTGCTGAGCAAGAAACACGCAGCTTAGGGTGGCACTACTAGTCCAAACTCTGAGACAGGGGTCCGAAAACCAGTCAGCAAGAGTATAAACAAGACAGGAGCAAAACAGGGCGGCACTACTAGTCCGGCCACTGGAAGAGAAGCCACAAGGCCAGTCTGAAAGGTATATATAAAGAGGAGTACACAATCAAGGTCCTAGCAAGTGAGAATCTACAGGAACTAGACCAAGCTACAAACAGTGCCGCTGATGATCCTTAGGCGCAAGCGCTTTAGTAAAGATATCAGCTATGTTGGCACCAGAGGCCAAGTGTACTACGCAGGCCTGGCGACGCTGTTGTAGCTCGCGCAGGAGGAAGTACCGCAGCTGGATGTGCTTCGCTCTGCCCTCAAGTCGAGGCTCTTGACAAAGGAGGATCATGGTCCTGTTGTCAGCGTTCAGAACCGGGGCAGAGCTAGGCCGCTCACCTAAGTCGGTGAGCAAGAAGGCCAGCCAGCAGAGCTCCTGTGCCGCCATGGCACCGGCGTAGATCTCAGACTCACAGCTAGACTGGGCAACAGACGAGGAGCGAGTGGACCTCCATGAGATGGCACCTGAACCAACGCTAAAGCAGTAGCCCTGAGAGGACCTGAGGGTCTCAGCGTCGTCTGCCCAAGATGCGTCTGTGTGCCCAGTAAGGACCACTGGCCTACGTCCTCCCAGCACTAACCCCGTGCCCGTTGTACTTGCTAGATAACGCAAAACTCTCTTAGCGGGCGACCAGTGCTGTGGTCGGTGTCTGCCTGTGGCCACAAAGCGAGCCATGATGCTGAGAGGGTATGCGAGATCTGGACGAGTGCAAGTCATTAGGTACATGAGGCAACCCACCAGCTCTGCGTAAGGACCAATGGGCTTTATTGACTCCTCTGGAACTGGAGCAGAGAGCCTGTGGTCTACTGGCTGAGGTGTGGGCTGTGCGGAGGAGAGTTGAAGACCGAACCTCTGAAGGACTTGGCGCACCAAGTGTGACTGTGAGAGAGTGATGGTGCACGCTGCTCTGTCCCTGGAGATCTGCAGACCAAGGTAGCGGCGCAGCTCTCCTAGGTCAGCGCAGGTGTGTCTCCTCAGCAGCTCGGCCTTCACAGAGACTAGTGCGTCTCTGTCTGCAGTAGCGAAGACCAGGTCGTCTACGTAGACAAGGATGTAGAACGGAGTCTGGCCAGCACGAACGAAGAGCGAGGGGTCTGCAGAGGACGGAAAGAACTGCACGTCAGCTAGCGTAGCACGCAGCATGTCGTGCCACTCACAGGGCGCCTGACGTAGGCCGTAGACCGGGTGCCGGAGAAGCCACTGCGTCCTAGGAGGGATGGTACCGGTGAAGCCGTGTAGACGGCGCAGGTAGACCTGCTCGTGTAGACTGCCCTGGAGAAACGCTGTGGAGAAGTCGAGGGAGTGTAACTCGTAGTCATGCTGTGCGATTACGTGCAGCAGCGCCCGAAGAGTAGTCGTCTTCGGGGTCGGGGCGAAGGTCTGAAAGAAGTCCACCCCCTCACGCTGACTGAAGCCTCTAGCCACGTAGCGTGCCTTGAATACAGGCGGCTCTCCAGGGGGGCGCTTCACTTTGAAGAGCCACCGGCCATCGACCACGTTCACCCCAGGTGGGGGAACTGCGTCGACGTTGGTGCCGGTGGATCTCCAATATGACATCTCCTGCTCCATGGCAGCTATCCACTGAGAGGCCCACGGTCCCGAGGTGGCCTCAGCGTAAGTGCGAGGGGTCGGGATGTCAAAGGCGTCAGGGTCACCCTCATGGACTAGCAGCATGGAACAGAGATGGGGAGCAGCCTCAGACAGGAAAGCAAGCTCGTACTGCCTATCCTCTAGGACGTCACTGCCAAGGGCATGCGCACCCCCAAGGGATAGAGGGCAGACACGGTCAGAGACCAGAGCGGTGGCGTATTCAAGGTGGCGGATAGAGGCGAAGTCAGCGATAGCAGCGACAAGAGCGTCACGACTGGAGACAAGAACCGACGGGTCGGTAACGAGGAATGCAAGGACCCGAGGAACAAAAGGACGAGCAGCACCAAGGTAGTTAGAGAGAGGGGGAGGCGCGACAGCGAGCGACGACGGAGGAGGCGAAGGCAGGAGGGGAGGACGAAACGCGTAGGAACGAAGCAACATAGGGTGAGAACGCTGAACAGGAGATACAGGACGAGCACGAGAGGGACGGCGAGACCAGACGTGAGACGAAGGCATCTGGTTAGGAGACAGAGGAGGAGACACAAGGGAGGAACGAGGGGGAAGACGAGCCGGAGACGAGTTCGGTGGAGGGAACACAGGGCCTTAGACAGGAAGAGGAGGAGGTGGCGGGGAGGCGCAAGCGAGCGGTCAGGGGAGGGAAGGCCGAGCAGGCAAAGGGCGGACACCGGCGGCGACTGCTGCTGCTGCTACTGCTCGACGCCGACACCTGGACCGCCAGCTGCACCACGGCCACCGCCGGAACACACCACGCCAGCACCCCCAAAAACGCCCACCCTAAGAGCGAGAACTCTCTCCAGCACCGGTGCCACCCCTATGCCCACCGGGACAAGCCACGACAGGAACCCCTGGATTAGCACCCTCCTCAACGCCAGCAACCCCAGAGTCCACGAGCGGCTGCAACTGCGGCGGCAGCAGCGGCTGCTGCGGCGGCAACTGCGACGGCGGAGGAGGAGACACCAAGGGAGTGGCAGGCAGCGAGAATGGCGCCGCGGGGCCACCAGAGTCAGCCGACTCCTCGATCGGGACAACCGACAAGAGGGGAGTGACGTGAGACACACCAGACGGAGCAGGACGGGGAGGGAGGTGAACAGGGGCTACCGGGGGAGTGGGAACCAGAAAGAGGGGAGTTGGACCCAAGAGACCTCGGTGGGAAAAGCGGTGGTAAAAGGAGACAGAATCGTCGAAAGTAGCTTCATGGGAGTGAAAGAAGCGGTGAGACGGCGGGTTGTAAAAGTGCCAGTCAGTCGAGTCAAGTGGGAAAACCCAGGAAGACACAGGGGACAGTGCGGGCAGTGAGCTTGTCCGTGCCAGAGGCACGAACATGAGCGAGGCAGCCCCAGACGTGGAATGCGAACGCATCATCAGGGAACCCGGTCCAAAGAAGGGTCGACGAAACCTGTGGTCGCTGGGAGCGCGGCCACAGGTTAAGCTGGTGAGCGGCGTAGCGAACGCCGAACGGCCACAGGAAATGGGATGCACCGGCATGGATCATTGAGGTACGAGCCACCTCCATGACCAAACCGATGCGTCGCTCAGCGACCCCATTCTGCTGCGGGGAGTCCGGTAGGGTGTACGACTGGGTGATGCCCTACGCACGATAGAACTGTCCAAGCCGGCCAGAGGCAAACTCGCCGTCACGGTCAGAGTGGAGACACAGCACAGGGAGACCGTGGTGGAGGCGTGCAGCTACGACGCGCGCGATAAGAACGTCAGGCACGTCGGCCTTCCGCTTCATATGTAACATGCATAGGAGGGGCCGGCGGGGTGTGGGGGGATAGCTACTAATGCATTAGACGGCGGATCCGACTTAGAGACACTCTACGAAACAAGCGTGAAAGTGGCGGATAACGTGGAAAGAAAAAAGCGAAGACGATGCAGCAAGTATGGAATCAGGAACACAACGATGGGTGCAAAGCTATAAGGTGAAGGCTGGGTAAGTTGTGGTTCCCTCTAGTAGTACGGTGCAGTAAGTTTGTTTCCGGTGGCGTGCTCTGGGAAGATAGGTGAGAACGATTAAGTGGGGTATTGAGATAAACTTGTGCATTTGAGCCCAGCCTTGGTTTCATTTGGTTGGTCGATACACTTCGTGCCAGCACCACAACAGTCGTGCACGCGTGGCGCTTGCTATTGGCTGGCTTCGTAGGCACTGCACACCAATAATATCATGTACTCGTTTACAGGGCTGCGCTAGTAGCAAGTAGTTGTAACATTTAGTATATTGTATGTTGTAACAGCGTCTTTGTGAACCAAAGTTTCCGTCCTCCCACAGGCCAACCAATCAGAAGGGGCTCGGCCTTTTTTGTAGGCACGTGTGCGCGAAATTCAACGCGGTAACTTGGTTGGCGTGCAAAACTAGCAGCATCAGGATGTCGCCGCCCCTTTTCGCCGAAGCCCCCTCACACGACTTTGATGAGGGGGGTACAGTCATCTTTAGGGTTTCGCACTGGTTGTCACATTTTGCCAACAAACAAAATAGAGTCAACTTTGCCTGTGCCCAGCGGAGACTAGACACTTCAGTTTTTTGCGGGGCCAACTTTTTTGTGACGACAAAGTGTATGGTTCAAGTAGGAGTCGTGTACTTACATTAGATTCAAGTCAACTTAACGAAACTAGAGCAGATGCTTTCAGAGCGTTTCAGAGCGGTACCATGGGTTCCCTTAATCTTTCGCGTACGCTCTACTCTGTCTCAAGAAGTTTTGCATCCTCAGCCGCATCACACGGCTCAGCAGCACTCAAGTTCAGGCTTGAGATGCAGAGCGTATCAGGGAGTGTTCCTAAACGACACGATGCCAGGTCCCTTCGTGAGTTCTTGAGATTTTGCTGGTAACAAATTCCCGTAAATAACATTTTGACACGCAGTAGCACGACATGGCATCGCGTAGGAGCAGGCCCTCAGGCTGACTCCGGAATCAAATCGTCCATCCGATTAGTCGGGGCATCGTTTGACAAACGCAGTCGCATCCAGTCTACGAACACAAGAAGCGCCAAGCGGAACCCACGTTCGAAGACTAGTTGCCCTGAATGTATAAGATTTTATGGTAGTTTTCGGCATTGAGTTTGGAAATTCTAGTTTCGAAAATGTTTTCAAGTGGCGGGCGCGGGACTCTGGACAATTTAGACGTAAACATTTCCACCACCTGCCAAACCTTTCTCATTTTCGATTGTGAGGCTGGGAACCTTGTTTTGGTCAATGCACCCTCGCGCCCAGGGGCTATGCTCGACGAGCAACTACCCAAATGCTGATTCTTAACGGGTGTCTTTTGACCGGAACTCCCTTTTTGACGGATTCGGGTCACACCGACTCCGCTGGTTCTGGGGTCTCTGTTTGCTCGAACCTGGCTTTTAGCCTGCGTTCTGGCGGATTTTGACCCGAAAACGGGCCCTGACGGGTACGATGTCCCCCAGATGACTGGTTAAAAATCCATTCTGAAGTCCCGCGCTCCCAGAGTAAATCCTGAGGGGTACCATGGTCCATCCATGGGTTCCCTCGTTCAGGGAGCCCTTCTCCGCAACAAAGTTCCACATCCCCAGCCGCATCACACGGCTCACACACACACCCAACGCGTTTCGAGACGCACACAAAAATCAATCGACAATCCGATTGGTCGGGGCATTGCATGACTCGAAACGCAGTGCTTTTCTTTCTGCCGAGGTTAAACACAAAACAAGCAGCCATACCACGATAAAACGCATGAGACCGCGTGTTTATTCTCTACACCGCTTGTCACCCATGTTCATTTTCGAGCGTGAGTCCCGGAACCCTTGTTTCCTCCACAGCCCACCTCACGCGCTGAGAACCCAGCCACTTCTGCTCCAACGAATGCATAAAGCAGAGCCCTGTTCTGCTCGTTACATCACACAAGCACGTGAACACACATTGCCCAGAAACACCCGATCCTTCTGCTTCTCTCTTCCGCCGAGTAGTCCTCTCAAAAACTTCGAGGTCCTCTCCCTCTTCACTCGTTCCGTCGAGAAATTATCTCGCTCCCTCTTTTCCAAGCCGCGCGAGGCATGGCATCGTGGTGGAACCAGCTGGCGATTCTCGGAATTTGCGCGCTGATCGCGGTGCTCGTCGCGCCGGCGGCGGCGAAGCGGCCCAGCAAGGAGGAGGTGATCGCAGAGGTGAAGAGCGCGCGCGACGCACTCAAGAACCCCGCGATTTCCAGCAAATACCGAATAACCACCACCTTCCTCGACCACTTCATCCCGAAATTGGGTAAGTAGCATGAAAGCTCTCTGTTAAAAGCTACATCTCTCGGCATGTTTAAACCGGAGTTATAACTCGTCAACACCTTTTGCGCTCAACTATTCTAGTCCACGTTCTCCTCATAGCTTTCATCATGAAATGTGTTGACGAAATCGAGCTCTGGTTTCTTGTGTTGGTGTGAGCAATGCAATGCAATGCTTCAGAGAGCGACTGGAATCCGACGGACGAGACGCTCGGCAAGCTGGACCGCAAGGCCATGCTCTTCCCCGCGGACGACGCGCTGCTCACCTCCGACTCCGCCGGCGCGGGCGTGAGCATGATGCTGAACCCGAACGCGGACCTGGAGGACGCCAAAGGGTACTGGAACTGGCTGCGCGCCAACATGGTGGACGGGCTCTACTCGGAGCAGGAGATGAGCGACGCGCGTGAGCTCAAGGACGTCAATGGCCGCAAGATGAGCAAGAGTGAGGACGCCGCCGCCGCCGCGTCGGCGAATCTGAGGGGGGGGAGGAAGATGCGGTTCGGGAAGGCCAACGCGCAGATTAACGACCCTGAGATTTTCAAAGGGACGTTTCTGATCGTTCATGGTGTGGACGCTCTGCAGTCGCCGTACTGACCCGCCTGCCGGATCAAAGCGTTTGTGCGAAAAGAAGCTCGTCTGGCTGATCAGCTTCGTAGGCCCTACGACTATTGGAGAAAATCTCGCGAATCCCGTTCCGCAGCGAAAATTGGAATATAATCGGACGCGCGAGACGGGATTCGTGAGATTCGCGAGATTCTCTCCATCTATTGTGTGTTTTCTTGGCGCTCTCATGTGTCTAGATTACGCGTTCCTGGGTAGAGCTATCTGGGTGGAGCAACGCATTAGTGTGATGGTGCTTGGCTGGAGGCTCCGGCTAGGATGGGGTTTACGGAGGGGGGGTAGTAGATTGGAGAAATGCAGCGGAGGGTGAAAGGCTTTGTTCGGTGTACAAACTTCAGAAGTAATTATTTACTAGTTGATGCGTTTGAAGTTGCTCCATACATAACTTTTCATGCAGCATGATGCTGTCCTTGTCCATGCATCCTGATTAGAGTCTCTTCAAATTACGATATGGAAGCTAGGAATAGAGCCGCTACAGGTTGGATAGGAAATTACACCAGATAAAGAAAGAGTGTCGCTGTTACACAGAATGCGCGTTGATTTGAAACAACCTTACAGAATGGTCGTCTGAACAGGAGGCTAGCTCCAAGCAGCTTCCTTCCCCCTTTTCTACGCCCGCCTCCCTACTATCCTCAACCCTCGTCCCTCCTGCCCTGCTATCTCCCCTCCCACCCTCCCCTCGCCATCGCAGCCTATGAACAGCTGCCAGGTGGCAATGAATGTCACTGAAAGTCACCAAAAGCCTTGACTGGAGAAGGTGAGGTGGTGGTGGCGGTTGGTCCAAGCGTCTGCGCTTGTGTTGCTTGCGCCTTTGCTGCTTCTGCCTGCGGCTGTGCGGTGAGGAGGCTTCCACCGCGTGTTGCAACTTGCAGCGCGCGAGCTCCAGCTGCGCTCCAAGCAGGGGCACTGGGGGGAGTAGAAACATCAGCAAGAAGCCGTCCCTCTGCCCGCGAGCTCCTGCTGCACTCCTGCAGCTTTTGCTGCTGTCATCCCATTGACCGTCACTGGTGTCGTTGTCATTGCTATTGCTAATGTGTTACCCTCAACATTGCTTACAATCTGAATTTACTCCTCCATTCGTCCACCCCCAATCATTTCACGCCCATTACTTCTCACCTTCTCACCTCCATTCGTCTAACCTTCCCTTCCCCAGTTTCTGCAACTTTTGCTCATCTTTTGACGATCTAGGTCGGTATTTCTCTCACTTCCTGTCTTCCCTGCTCCGTTGTCTTATCTTGCCGTTGATAACTCGTTCATCTGTTCCTCGCTTTCCCCTCTTTCTGCCTCCCCTCACCAATCACTGTTCGCTGCTTTGAGTCCCTGCATCTCACTGTCATCTATACTGATCCCAATAACTTCCTCTCACCAATCTCTGACTCACCATAACCCACTCTCATGCTTGAATCATGTTGCCCTGCCTGTAGTTTGTGCCTGCCAGCCAAGTCAGATTCCCAAGTCAGATTCCTGAGTCAGATTCCCAAGTCAGATTCCCAAGTCAGATTCCCATGTCAGATTCCCATGTCAGATTCCCATGTCAGATTCCCAAGTCCGATTCCCATGTCAGATCCCCAGGTCAGATACCAAAATCAGATTCCCAAGCCAGATTCCCATGTCAGATTCCGAAGTCAGATTCCCAAGTCCGATTCCTGAGTCAAATTCCCAAGACAGATTCACAGGTCCGATTCCCAAGTCAGATTCCCATGTCAGATTCCGAAGTCACTCTCCCAAGTCAGATTCCCAAGTCTGATTCCCGACTCTGGTTCCCAAGTCAGATTTCCGAGTCAGACTCCAGAGTCACATACCCGAGACGGATTCACAGGTCCGATTCCCAGGTCAGATTCCCAAATCAGATTCCCCAGTCAGATAACCAAGTCAGATTCCCGAGTCACATACCCGAGAGACTCACACGTCCGTTTCCCAGGTCAGTTTTCCAAGTCAGATTCCCAGTTCAGATTCCCAGTTCAGATTCCCAAGTCAGATTCCCATGTCAGATTCCCTAGTTCGATTCCCAAGTAAGATTCCCAGGTCAGATTCCCACGTTAGATTCCCAAGTCAGATTCCCGTGTCAGATTCAGAAGTCGGGTTCTCGAGTCAGATTCCCAAGTGAGATTCCCCAGTCAGATTCCCAAGTCAGATTCCCAGCTCAGATTCCCAAGCCAAATTCCCAAGTCAGATGCCCCGAGACAAATTACTGAGTCAGATTCCGGAGTCAGACACCCATGTCAGGTTCCTGAGTCAGATTCCCTAGTCCGATTCCCAAGCCAGATTCCCAAGTTACATACCCGAGACAGATTCACAGGTCCGATTCCCAGGTCAGATTCCCATGTCAAATTCCCAAGTCAGATTCCCATGTCAGATTCCCACGTCACATTCCCAGGTCAGAATCCCAAGTCAGATTCCCAGGTCAGATTCCCACGTGAGATTCGCAGGTGATGTTCCCGAGTCAGATTCCCCCAAGTCAGATTCCTATGCGAAATTCCCAAGTCAGATTCCCAGGTCAGATTCCCTGGTCAGATTCCCAAGTCAGATTCCCTAGTCAGATTCCCACGTCAGATTCCCAAGTCAGATTCCCAGGTCACATTCCCAGGTCAGATTTCCAGGTCAGATTCCCAGGTCAGATTTCCAGGTCAGATTCCCAGGTGAGAATCCAAGGTGAGATTCCCAGGTGAGATTCCCAGGTGAGATTCCCAGGTGAGATTCCTGAGTCAGATTGCCAAGTCCGATTCCCAAGTCATATTCCCAGGTCAGATTCCCAGGTCACATTCCCAAGTCAGTCAGTTTCCCAGGTCGGTCGGATTCCCAAGTCAGATTCCCAGGTCACATTCCCAGGTCATATTCCTAGGTCAGCTGCCCAGGTCAGATTCCCAAGGTCACATTCCCAGGTCAGAATCCCAGGTCAGATTCCCAGGTCAGATTCCCACGTGAGATTCGCAGGTGATGTTCCCGAGTCAGATTCCCCCAAGTCAGATTCCTATGTGAAATTCCCAAGTCAGATTCCCAAGTCAGATTCCCAGGTCAGATTCCCTGGTCAGATTCCCAAGTCAGATTCCCTAGTCAGATTCCCAAGTCAGATTCCCAGGTCCCAAGCTGATCAGCCAGACGAGCTTCATCGGAGAAGGGGGGGGAGGTTTTTCAAGTCGAAGGTGTGTTGGGGGAAAGTCCCTCGCTTCGGAGGGGGTTGGCTGGGAATTGGCGAGTCGTCGTCAAGAACGTCTTCGTCTTTCCCGCAACATTCCCAACCAAACCGAGTCGCATCGAGCAATTCGTTTCGGAAATTGGGGTTCGGTGTGCACGTCGAAGGAGAGTTGTAATCGTATTGCATCGACTCGCCAATTTTGTTATTAGACTTTCGCTGCAATGGACATCTTTTGTCCCACGAGTTGTAATCACTGGACAGTAAATTAGACACTTATGTTGTATGTATATTTGTTATATATAACTAAGTAAAAATTTTACAATATTATAACTCGATTTGAACGATTTTTTAAATATACATTCTCGTGATTTCATTCATTATTATACCCGCAAACCATAACAGATATTATTGGCAATGAAAAACAACCCTCAACAATACCTCTTCATCCAACATAAAGACAAGCCCTAATCAACTTCCAAAACACCAGCACGTCTTGAATCACATCCCTGATAACGAAGCACATCCACATGCAACTTGCCCCATCGCCCCCTTCAGAAAATAACCTCCACACCCTCTCCATTCAGGTCGCCTTCAACCACATCATCTACGTCACGGTCCCCCACGAAATCAAGGGCCAGGATGTTCTCTGGGACATCCACCCAATCCATGAGGTACAGCTTGCCGATGAAGTAGTTGTTGCCGTTGTACTTGGTGGCCTGGAACCGGTTGAGCAGGCGCTGGACGACGCGCTCCTGCCTTCCGAGGGCATCAGGATCTCCAGACCTTTCTAGCTGAATGCGTGCCATGTTCGGATTGCGCAACTTGTGACGAATCTGCAGATCAAGAGGGACGGAGGGATGGGCAGAGAGAGGAATGAAGGGATGGGAACGAAGGGAGGAAGGGATGGAGAGAGAGGGGCGGGGGAATGGGCAGAGAGGAATGAAGGGATGGGCAGAGAGGGATGGAAGGATGAGAAGGGAGGAAAGGAGCGATGGGATGGAGGGATGGGAAGGGAGGGATCAAGAGATGGGATGAGAGGGAAGGGGGGGAGGGCAAAAAGGGATGAAGGGATGGGCAAATGGGATGAGAGAGAATGAGGGATGGGCAGGGAGGGATGAAGGGACGGGCAGGGAGGGAGGAGGGGACGGGCAGGGAGGGATGACAGGACGGGCAGGGAGGGATGAAGGGACGGGCGGGGAGGGATGAAGGGACGGGCAGGGAGGGATGAAGGGACGGCGGGAGGGATGAAGGGACGGGCAGGGAGGGATGAAGGGACGGGCAGGGAGGGATGAAGGGACGGGCAGGGAGGGATGAAGGGACGGGCGGGGAGGGATGAAGGGACGGGCAGGGAGGGATGACAGGACGGGCAGGGAGGGATGAAGGGACGGGCAGGGAGGGATGAAGGGACGGGCAGGGAGGGATGAGGGGACGGGCCGGGAGGGATGAGGGGATGGGCAGGGAGGGATGACAGGACGGGCAGGGAGGGATGAAGGGACGGGCAGGGAGGGATGAAGGGACGGGCAGGGAGGGATGAAGGGACGGGCAGGGAGGGATGAAGGGACGGGCGGGGAGGGATGAGGGACGGGCAGGGAGGGATGAAGGGACGGGCAGGGAGGGATGAAGGGACGGGCAGGGAGGGATGAAGGGACGGGCAGGGAGGGATGAAGGGACGGGCAGGGAGGGATGAAGGGACGGGCAGGGAGGGATGAAGGGACGGGCGGGGAGGGATGAAGGGACGGGCAGGGAGAGATGAAGGGACGGGCAGGGAGGGATGAAGGGACGGGCAGGGAGGGATGAAGGGACGGGCAGGGAGAGATGAAGGGACGGGCAGGGAGGGATGAAGGGACGGGCAGGGAGGGATGAAGGGACGGGCAGGGAGGGATGAAGGGACGGGCAGGAAGGGCTGTGGGCTCACCACGGCCATAGTGAGGGTGAGCTGATGTCGGTGCAGCGCTACGACTGGACCGGCCTTCCCTGTCCACACTTTCCCCACCGCAAGAAAGGCAGGGCTCGAGAACGGGACACCCAACCACTCGTGCCATGGGATCCCTGTGTCATCTGCAAAGAACAAGGGAGTTTAGGCTAGCACCAGGTGTGTGATAACGATCAAGAGAGCACGAGAGTAACTACTCACCAATTGCGTTCTCAGCAACCCACTTCACACATGCAAGTGCGAACTCAGTGTCCTTCTTGTAGCACTTCTTCCCATCGCTGTTGATCACAGCTTTGATTAGCTTAAGAGGGGAATTAAGGAGTGCTCCGAGCCTGAGGTTGGAAAGCCTTTTCCCAAACCTGTTGTTGAACATTTTGGCAGTCCGCTCTAAGGCATCAGAGTTCGATAGTTCAAGCTTAAGCTTGAATGCGGTTTCTGAGAGTGGCTGCACGTTTGCCAGCTCTGCACAGTAGTAGAAAACGGGTGACGATAGATCAGGCCAGGTAAGGTTGAAACAACAAATCGTGACTGTGATGAAGAACACCACGTTGAATTAAGGGACGGGCAAAATTTGATAGCAAAATTGCTGCAGCACATACCAACAAAGAGGTTCAGCCAGTGGGCTTCATCTGGAGCATAGTTAATGTACGGGGGCTTGCTGATGGTGAGGCTAACTGCCTGCTTCATGATGTCCTGCACGGGATGAAGGGATGGGAGGGATGAAGGGACGGGATGAGAGGGAGAAGGGGGGAAGGACAAAAAGTTATGAAGGGATGGGCAGATGGGACGAGGGCATGAGGGATGGGAATGGAAGGACGAGTAGAGCGGGATCAAGGGATGGGCGGAGAGGGAACAAGGGACAGGATGAGAGGGAAGGGGGGAAGCGAACACACACACTTGTGAAGGGGGGAATGGATACTTACATTCACGCGCTTGTCCGTGAGAACCTTCTTCTCCATGTGGTTGGCCAAGTTCTCTACCGCCCTCAGCGACGTAGTGGTGACCACCGTCTGTCGTTGAAGTTCGTCTCTAGAAGCAAGTGCTTCCTCCTCAAGCTGCGTGTTTCGCAGACGAACATCGTCATTGAGCCTTGACATCTTCCGGCCTTTCTCGCTGTAAAGCAGATCCACCCCGCCGTTTGTCTCAACGCCAGCGGCTCGCTTAAAGAGCCGGGTACCAACGGCGGTATAAGCTGCAAGAACCACCAGAATTGGGTTAGTCATCGGGTTTAGCTGCAAACTAAAGGGCGGAATGAACAGGAGCAAAGTCTACCTGTAGGCATGATGATCGCCTCATCCTCATCCGTTTGCTGGTTCGCCTCCGCTGCCGTGAAGGCCGTGGCAGCTGCTGGAATTGAGGCATCACCAGTTGCACCAAGCGTGGGAGGAGCATGGACAGGCGTTGAGGCAGCAGGAGGCTGGGCTGGGAGCCTGGCTGGGCTGGCTGGAAGATGTGACACAGAAGCGGGGGCTTCATGGTTGACCTCACCGTTGATCCCCGAATCTGCATTGGTGAATGACAAGATACAAGTTAGCATGGGGTAAAAGCGTGCGGACCCAAGGCAAGGGGACATTCGTACCATTGTTACTCGCAACGTTGCAAGGGGAAGGCGCACGAGGGGCCTGCTGCAGAACAGCGCTGAGGCTCCTCACGCCACTTCTGCCAGTTGCCAGTGCAGGCGGTCCCATATCAGGTAACTGCAGCCCAACAATCTCGCCAGCAAATGACTGGCCACCGCTCTCAGTCTGTGCTTCAGCCAGACCTCCTGAAATTGCGGGAAATAAGGGTTAGTCGCAAAAACTGTGCGAAGGGAATCAACCGGAATGTGCCAAAAGAGGAAGGCAGTAAGTACCTTGATCCTTGTAATGACCGCCGAGGGTCGCATGTTTGCTCTTCGTGCCACGGCTGGGCTGCTGACGTTGTGCCATTGCGAGCACCTCTGGTGGAACTTGGTTTCCCTTAGGGGCCATCGTGAAATAAAAGAGAGTGTGGCGTGAGAATACTATGAAAGAACTGGAGAGAACTTGTAAAGGTCTTGCGCTGATGACAATGGTTGGGCGACTAAGCTTTTATAGAAAACAAGGGTCACACCTGGTGAGCTGAAACTTGAGAATCGTGACTCCACGAGACGAAGCACCCTAGAACTATCTCTGAGCTTGTTTATATCACATTTCGCTCTGTACAGGATTTCAGGGGGTGGGGCGGATGGCGGGAAAAATGGGTTTTGCGACGGCGGCTCTTTGTACAAGTGGGTTGTGGGCTCAGCGTTCGAAGTTTCAAGTCTGAAGTGTGAAGTTCGAAGTTCGAAGTTAGAAGTTAGAAGTTCAAACCTCGAGTTTGAAATTGCAAACACAGCTGCGGTTGGCGTTGTGGGTTTGGCTGGTTGGCAGCCAAACCCTAGCAAGGCAGAGGAGTTTTTTTAGGCGAAGGGGGACTGACACGGAAGTGGCAGAAAGGTTGGTCTGTGTTTTTTCTTTTTGTTCTCGGTTGGGCAGTGCACGATGCACCAGTCACACACTGTCGAGTTGGACAGCAATCGAGACTATAGTTTACAAAACGCGTATGTCAGTGCAGTACGGCCACAATTCGGACGTGTTCCGCGGGATCCAACTCGTCCAATCTGGGTAGCCCTAGAACTTCTGACTGTTTTCGCATGCCAGAGTTTCGACCAGCTCGTACGTGGTTTTACCCTGTTTTTCCATGACAACCCAGCGTAATTACCCTGACTTGCAGAGGCCTGCTTGGGGTCAGGTTTTCCACGCGCAACTCAAAGCAGCAAAGCGTTTGCGCCAAAACCTTACAAGCCTGGTTTGGTTCTCGCTGTTGGGGGGAAGGGGTGCTGATGTGGCGCTTTACAGTCGGCTACAGACAAAACGCACCTGGCCGAATATTTCTTGTAGTCCCGCTGCCACCTCACCTCACCTGTCTCCGCGGTTGCGGGCCGTTGGCGCAAAAACGCACCAGCCGAACAGCACCTCACAGCGCTGAATGGGGCGTTCCTATAGCGCGTCCGAGACGTACTTTTCCCACAAACACCCTACACAACCATACTAAACTGCACTGGAAAGAAGACACAATATTTTAATTATATGATCATTATTTAACAATATCGTCTATGTTGAAATTGCAAAATGCTTCGTGGGTTTGCACAAGTAATCTGCCTCCATCGGTGTTAATAATAAACCCACCAGAACACAAGATATATGTCTTAAGCGCTACGCTGACCAAGCAATTCCATTGCGAACTAGGTCTATGTGCTTATCGCCTAAACGTGTTCAAAATAAAGGTGGCGCTAGGTGCTTTGGGGTCTGGAGATGTAGGGACCACATGCAGAGTGCGCAGGATGTGGGAAATGGGAAAAACAGAGTACTCGTCTACCCCTGCGCTCCAAACCAACCTCTCCAAGTCATAATCTTCAGTAGGGCCTGTGCTCTCATAGTTCCTGATGAAGCCCATCTGGTCTTGCATAATCTCTTTGACCTGAACCCCATTCTCTGTCAGCATGGTGGTTTTTGTAAGGGTGAACATGAGCAGCAGCTTGCCAAAACGCACGCGATGGACCCGTCCTGCCACTGCCTCCTTTCTAGATACATCAGAGTACCAAGGTTTCCCGTAGAATGAAGGTGTGGCTCTGGCATACTGAGCATGCCTGCTGTACAAATCATAGTTCTCACGTCCTGGGATACCTACACCGGTGTGCAGGTGAATGGTGGCATCGCATGTTTCTCCAGCCAACAGCGATCCTCGAATGGTTGGTTGTAAACGGTCCATGTCCCCAGGAGCAGTGGCACACAGTTGCTGCCAATGGTTGCCAGTTGGCTTGTCCATGTTGATCTGACCATTCCGACCTGTGACAGTTGGCGTTCCACTCTCCAAAGCCTGGTAGAGAGTGATGAGAAGAACACGAATACGGGGATGGGATGGGTGGGCTGAGAGCGATGAGAGGGAACAAGGGATGGGATGAGAGGGAACAAGGGATGGGATGAGAGGGAACAAGGGATGGGATGAGAGGGAACAAGGGATGGGATGAGAGGGAACAAGGGATGGGGATGGTGGGGATAAGACGATGGGATCAGAGGGAAGAAGGGACGGGATCAGAGGGAGCAAGGGACGGGATGAGAGGGATGAAGGGATGGGGATGGTGGGGATAAGAGGATGGGATCAGAGGGATGAAGGGACGGGATCAGAGGGAGCAAGGGACGGGATCAGAGGGATGAAGGGACGGGATCAGAGGGATGAAGGGACGGGATCAGAGGGAGCAAGGGATGGGATCAGAGGGAAGAAGGGACGGGATCAGAGGGAGCAAGGGATGGGATGAGAGGGATGAAGGGATGGGGATGGTGGGGATAAGAGGATGGGATCAGAGGGATGAAGGGACGGGATCAGAGGGAGCAAGGGATGGGATCAGAGGGATGAAGGGACGGGATCAGAGGGAGCAAGGGATGGGATCAGAGGGAAGAAGGGACGGGATCAGAGGGATGAAGGGACGGGATCAGAGGGATGAAGGGACGCACCTGGCCGAATAATAAGAGGATGGGATGAGAGGGAAAAAGGGATGGGCAGAGAGGACAGCCATTGGCAAACTCACCACACGTAGAGCTACAGCTCTAACTTCCGCATCCTCCTTGTCCTCATCGTCCCTAGTTATTGCATCTACAAGCTCGCCAACCAGAGCACGACGTGTGATGTGCTCCTCATAATTCTTCTTGTTGCTCCCACGATATGGTCTCTTCATCATGGAGATGTGAAGATGCTCGTAAAAATCGGTGCAGTAGTGTACTGGCAAACCGCCACGACGGATATCCTCTGGAACATGCACCATCGCGTGCACTTTTGGAATCATGAACTCTGACTTTTGTCCGGCTCCAAAGTGAGTGATAAGGAGAGGGATCAGCCTGGGGTGGGAGCAATATAGGGAAATGCCATGGAACCTTATTGCAAAGAACACGATCATGAGTTTGCAATGATCGGACCCTTGGGCTTGTACGTGGTATGAAAGTGATGGAAAGAGGAGTGGTGGGATGCACATCGGAGTCTAGTAGACTTAAAGATAATGATGCCTAAATAATAATCACATCACAAGTGTGCACTTACAATCCTGTGAGGGACGCGAGGTGTATCAACGTCGCCTCTGTATGATAGGGTCGCAACCACACCTCCGAGTGCCAGTAGACATACATCGAAACAGTCTCTACCAGCTCCTTTTTTGCCCCCATCTGTTGAAGGAGCACAGGCAGAACCTGCATCACTGCTTGATGTTCGAATGCATAAAATGTGCCAACATTTGCGAAATACCTCTTCCCCTTCCCTGGTAGGCGGAAGAACGATTGTCTACTGTACTCAGTGATGCGACAAAGTGCATCATCGAACAGTGGCCGCTTGTCAACTTCCCCCCTGCCCCCCTTGAGGATGTTTCGGAGAGAATCTACCATGTGTTTAAACACTCCAAGTGGGGACATGTGCATCACGTCGCACATCAAAGCGCGGTAAGGGTTACCCCATTCGGTGTTTCCTTGTGGAAATCTCCACAGCCACACCTGTTTGGGGGAATTACAGGAAGTATAAAAGTAATGGCACTCTCATTCTTGTACCCACCAAATCCCCCATGTCTGAAATCCAACAAGAAACAGCATTCTCTGCCCATCCCTTCATCCCTCTCTGCCCATACCTTCATCCCTCTCTGCTCATACCTTCATCCCTCTCTGCCCATACCTTCATCCCTCTCTGCCCATACCTTCATCCCTCTCTGCCCATACCTTCATCCCTCTCCGCCCATACCTTCATCCCTCTCCGCCCATACCTTCATCCCTCTCCGCCCATACCTTCATCCCTCTCCGCCCATACCTTCATCCCTCTCTGCCCATACCTTCATCCCTCTCTGCCCATACCTTCATCCCTCTCTGCCCATACCTTCATCCCTCTCTGCCCATACCTTCATCCCTCTCTGCCCATACCTTCATCCCTCTCTGCCCATACCTTCATCCCTCTCTGCCCATACCTTCATCCCTCTCCGCCCATACCTTCATCCCTCTCCGCCCATACCTTCATCCCTCTCCGCCCATACCTTCATCCCTCTCCGCCCATACCTTCATCCCTCTCTGCCCATACCTTCATCCCTCTCCGCCCATACCTTCATCCCTCTCCGCCCATACCTTCATCCCTCTCCGCCCATACCTTCATCCCTCTCTGCCCATACCTTCATCCCTCTCCGCCCATACCTTCATCCCTCTCCGCCCATACCTTCATCCCTCTCTGCCCATACCTTCATCCCTCTCTGCCCATACCTTCATCCCTCTCCGCCCATACCTTCATCCCTCTCTGCCCATACCTTCATCCCTCTCTGCCCATACCTTCATCCCTCTCTGCCCATACCTTCATCCCTCTCTGCCCATACCTTCATCCCTCTCTGCCCATACCTTCATCCCTCTCTGCCCATACCTTCATCCCTCTCTGCTCATACCTTCATCCCTCTCTGCCCATACCTTCATCCCTCTCTGCCCATACCTTCATCCCTCTCCGCCCATACCTTCATCCCTCTCTGCCCATACCTTCATCCCTCTCTGCCCATACCTTCATCCCTCTCTGCCCATACCTTCATCCCTCTCTGCCCATACCTTCATCCCTCTCTGCCCATACCTTCATCCCTCTCCGCCCATACCTTCATCCCTCTCTGCCCATACCTTCATCCCTCTCCGCCCATACCTTCATCCCTCTCTGCCCATACCTTCATCCCTCTCTGCTCATACCTTCATCCCTCTCTGCCCATACCTTCATCCCTCTCTGCCCATACCTTCATCCCTCTCTGCCCATACCTTCATCCCTCTCCGCCCATACCTTCATCCCTCTCTGCCCATACCTTCATCCCTCTCCGCCCATACCTTCATCCCTCTCCGCCCATACCTTCATCCCTCTCCGCCCATACCTTCATCCCTCTCCGCCCATACCTTCATCCCTCTCTGCCCATACCTTCATCCCTCTCTGCCCATACCTTCATCCCTCTCTGCCCATACCTTCATCCCTCTCTACCCATACCTTCATCCCTCTCTGCCCATACCTTCATCCCTCTCTGCCCATACCTTCATCCCTCTCTGCCCATACCTTCATCCCTCTCCGCCCATACCTTCATCCCTCTCCGCCCATACCTTCATCCCTCTCTGCCCATACCTTCATCCCTCTCTGCCCATACCTTCATCCCTCTCTGCCCATACCTTCATCCCTCTCTGCCCATTCCTTCATCCCTCTCTGCCCATTCCTTCATATCATTCTGCCCATTCCTTCATCCCTCTCTGCCCGTCCCACCTTCCCTCTCCTCGCATCCCTTCACCCCTTTCCCCCCTTCCATCCCCACCCGTAACTCACATGCACATGGTGTTGACTGTTGGCTGTTTCCAGCCTCAGGAGATCAGTAGGTTGACGAAGGCACCCCATTTCCATCCATGTGTGCTTCTGTGCTGCCACCGTTCGCTGTGCCCGCATTTCTGTCTTTGCCAGCTGCTTCCGGTGCACCATGCAGCGAGGGCAGGGAAAATTGGTTGAGTGTCCAGACTTGGTTCCTGCAACCTTGCACTGTTCCGGGTAGTCTCCAACATATGCATACAACAATGGATATGCCATACGTCGAATGCCGTATGGGTCAAGCACTGGTTCTCCCTTGTCTGCAGCTGCCATGCAGTCTCCCATAATCATGTCCAGAGCCTGTTGAAAGATCTCCATGCGTCTTCGGACGATGCAGCTACCAGGGGCAAGCATGTCTTCAGTCACCTTCGGTAGCAGAGCTACAAGGCGCCTTCCATGTGGTTTCCAGCGATTTCCAGATGAAATGTTGGCCAGCGACACGTACACTGGCCAACCGGTGACTGATCCATCTTTCGAGAGGTTGGTTTCATCGGAGTACACAATTAGAGCTACAACAGATGCACCCTCCGGCAGATCTTGCTGTGCAAACCACCACCAGGTACCACTATCAGGATCTCGGTACACCCTATCCGCTTCTGCAACTAATGGTTGAGGGTGTGCAATAAAGTCTACTGCATTTGCAGGATTGCTGTATAAATTCTTGGCGCAAGACCACAAGGAACGCCATCGCAGCATGATCGGCTTCCGATCTGAGGGAGATGCTAGATCACTATCCCTGAATTTCTCCATCACCACACCACCAGCTTCCTTCTCCTCAAAACGGTCAACGTCCGCCAATGATTCGAAAGTGCAAGGATCTAACTGACTGCTCTTCATAATATCTACCAGCTCTGCAATTTCTGGCCGAGATAACCCCATGCCTCCTGCTGTTTTTTTGCAGAATACAAAAAAGCGCTTATCTGTGGACGTTTTCTTCGGGTTCTTCTCGTGCGCCACGCCGCATCCACTCGCGTCCATGTTGGGGCGTGAATCTCTCGAAGGACATGGTCCATTGGGAATACAGTCCCCTTCATTAGGCACACTAGCTCTACGCTTGGTGCGACGATCAGCTGTTGTCTGCTCTATTACCTCCTGTAAAGCCTCTAGATCGCGGAAGCTAGGTGCTTGTTGCCCTGCTGGTTGCTCTGGAAACGTATGTATTTTCTGTCGGCGGTGCAGTAGTCTCTCGTTAGGACAGGAGAACCTCTCAATGCAACCCGGTTCACCACAAGCGATGGGGAGATTCCTAACTCCATCCATACGCACCAATCCTATTACCGAGGAATGGCTGTGTACAACTAGGAGTAGCGACCACGTGAGTAGGATCAGAGCACTACTTAAATCCATGCTAGGACCTTGGAGCGCAAGCAATCAATTAACGCGGCCTCTTGAGGAATTTCGCTTGAAGAACCATCTAGGCTGGACACTATATTGTCCTACTGGAGGAAATGAGACAGGAATCTAATTAAACATGTGTTATTTAATAGGAAACGAATCTGCTCAGGAAACGTCCTACATACCTGGTGTACATCTCGGCTGGAAATTAAAATAGCGCATTAGGAGCGGCTGGAGTACGAGTTACTAATCCAGAATTGGGGTGTACAGGTGCCGCCGCTGGTGGCAAATTCATCTAACGCGCAGCTTCCTAAAACGCCTCTTTCCTTGTACCAGAGTCAGCTTAGGAAGGCTTGACCCTTGCACTGAAGCAAGACGGGGTTGGAGAAGAAGGTGAGAATTCGAGTGCTCGCGAAGAAAAATGCCATCATGGGTCCAGACGACGTGGCTTTGCAATACTGGTTAACTATTCATTTCAACCAATAACACCACGTCACGCAGGATTATAATTGGTCGCAGCAACAGCTATCACTGGGCTGCTCCCCCCTGTTGATCGAAACTTCTCGCCATGCGATGATTGGGCCACTCAGACTCTGACACGCTAGCCCTGACTTGACACGCTGGCCGTTGCGTGACGGGCCGGGAAGTAGGACCCAAACTGCTGGATATGCCTCTCGCGCCAGATCTTGTTGGGCGGCGCGAGCCAACCAAAGTTGCGCTGTGCTGTGGCGGGCAGCACACTGTCAATAAAACGCACAGAACACTGCATATGCAACAACAAAAACTCGTCACTATATGCAAAAACAAGCATATTACGTTGCCATAAAAAGACTCAACAAAACAAGGAAAAGCTCTACAAGACTTACAATAACAAATAGCGTCGTCTAGAAACGCCGTTATGCGTTATTGCAATGTAAACTATTCCAAACAACTTAGAACACATGTCGAATTACCTTTGTAAACAAATCTTCAAAACAAATATTTTTCCGATTTAGCACAAAATAATTCGACGAATGACGGAAATCAGTTGTAATACAAAGTGCAATAATGTATGACGTAATGAAGCTGTTTATACATTTTTTAAAAACGAATGTAGAGTCAGTTCAGTCTGTGGCGATGTACCCGCCTCAAGGTTAGGCTTATCGCAATTGTGTTGATTAAGAATTTCCAACGACCAGCTAAAAAGGGCAGGTTGCCCCCCTTGCGAAAACGTGTTGTGAACCTCTCGCCAATCAGGGCAACTCGCGTGCATCCAGTCCACCGTGTCAAGATTCCACCAATGACGACCTACCAAGAAATCGCAAACAACTGGCCAGGAAGTTCCGAGGGTCTCACCCCAAACTGGCGAGACCCCCGCAACACAAAAGCAAGTACCAAAACTCGCCCCCCTCTTCTCCGATGATGCTGTCCTTGTCCATGCATCCTGATTAGAGTCTCTTCAAATTACGATATGGAAGCTAGGAATAGAGGCGCTACAGGTTGGATAGGAAATTACACCAGATAAAGAAAGAGTGTCGCTGTTACACAGAATGCGCGTTGATTTGAAACAACCTTACAGAATGGTCGTCTGAACAGGAGGCTAGCTCCAAGCAGCTTCCTTCCCCCTTTTCTACGCCCGCCTCCCTACTATCCTCAACCCTCGTCCCTCCTGCCCTGCTATCTCCCCTCCCACCCTCCCCTCGCCATCGCAGCCTATGAACAGCTGCCAGGTGGCAATGAATGTCACTGAAAGTCACCAAAAGCCTTGACTGGAGAAGGTGAGGTGGTGGTGGCGGTTGGTCCAAGCGTCTGCACTTGTGTTGCTTGCGCCTTTGCTGCTTCTGCCTGCGCCTATGCGGTGCGGAGGCTTCCACCGCGTGTTGCAACTTGCAGCGCGCGAGCTCCAGCTGCGCTCCAAGCAGGGGCACTGGGGGGAGTAGAAACATCAGCAAGAAGCCGTCCCTCTGCCCGCGAGCTCCTGCTGCACTCCGCTTTTGCCGCTGTCATCCCAGTGATCGTCACTGGTGTCGTTGTCATTGCTATTACTAATGTGTTACCCTCAACATTGCTTACAATCTGAATTTCCTCCTCCATTCGTCCACCCCCCATCATTTCACGCCCATTACTTTTCACCTTCTCACCTCCATTCGTCTACCCTTCCCTTCTCCCATTTCTACAACTTTTGCTCATCTTTTGACGATCTAGGTCGGTCTTTCTCTCACTTCCTGTCTTCCCTGCTCCGTTTTCTTCTCTTGCCATTAATAACTCGTTCATCTGTTCCCAATCAGATTTCCGAGTCAGACTCCAGAGTCACATACCCGAGACAGATTCACAGGTCCGATTCCAAGGTCAGATTCCCAAGTCAGATTCCGCAGTCAGATAACCAAGTCAGATTCCCAAGACAGATTCCCAGTTCAGATTCCCAAGTAAGATTCCCCAGTCAGATTCCCGTGTCAGATTCAGAAGTCGGATTCTCGAGTCAGATTCCCAAGTTAGATTCCCCAGTCAGATTCCCAAGTCAGATTCCCAAGTCAGATGCCCGAGTCAGATTACTGAGTCGGATTCCGGACTCAGACTCCCATGTCAGGTCCCTTAGTCAGATTCCCTGGTCCGATTCCCAAGCGAGACTCCCAAGTTACATACCCGAGACAGATTCACAGGTCCGATTCACAGGTCAGATTCCCAGGTCAGATTCCGAGGTCAGATTCCTAGGTGAGAATCCCAGGTGAGATTCCCAGGTGAGATTCCCAAGTTAGATTCCCAGGTGAGATTCCTGAGTCAGATTCCTGAGTCACATTCCAAAGTCATATTCCCAGGTCAGATTCCCAGGTCACATTCCCAAGTCGGTCAGTTTCCCAGGTCAGTCAGATTGACAAGTTAGATTCTCAGGTCACATTCCCAAGTCACATTACCAGCTCAGATGCCCAGGTCATGTTCCCAAGGTCACATTCCCAGGTCAGATTCCCAAGTCAGACTCCTGAGTCACATACCGGAGACAGATACACAGGTCCAATTCCCAAGTCAGATTCCCCAGTCAGATTACCAAGTCAGATTCCCGAGTCACATACCCGAGAGATTCACAGGTCCGTTTCCCAGGTCAGGTTTCCATGTCAAATTCCTGAGTCAGATTCCCTTGTCAGATTCCTGAGTAAGATTCCCAGGTCAGATTCCCAGGTGAGAATCCCAGGTGAGATTCCCAGGTGAGATTCACAGGTGAGATTCACAGGATAGATTCCCAGGTGAGATTCCTGAGTCAGATTCCTGAGTCGGATTCCCAAATCATATTCCCAGGTCAGATTCCCAGGTCAGCTTCCCATGTAAGATTCCCAGGTCAGATTCCCAGGTCACATTCCCAGGTCACATTCCCACGTGAGATTCGCAGGTGATGTTCCCGAGTCAGAGTCCCCAAAGTCAGATTCCTATGTGAAATTCCCAAGTTAGATGCCCAAGTCAAATTCCCAGGTCAGATTCCCAAGTCAGATTCCCAGCTCAGATTCCCAAGCCAAATTCCCAAGTCAGATGCCCCGAGACAAATTACTGAGTCAGATTCCGGAGTCAGACACCCATGTCAGGTTCCTGAGTCAGATTCCCTAGTCCGATTCCCAAGCCAGATTCCCAAGTTACATACCCGAGACAGACTCACAGGTCCGATTCCCAGGTCAGATTCCCATGTCAAATTCCCAAGTCAGATTCCCTAGTCAGATTCCCACGTCAGATTCCCAAGTCAGATTCCCAGGTCACATTCCCAGGTCAGATTTCCAGGTCAGATTCCCAGGTCAGATTTCCAGGTCAGATTCCCAGGTGAGAATCCAAGGTGAGATTCCCAGGTGAGATTCCCAGGTGAGATTCCCAGGTGAGATTCCTGAGTCAGATTGCCAAGTCCGATTCCCAAGTCATATTCCCAGGTCAGATTCCCAGGTCACATTCCCAAGTCAGTCAGTTTCCCAGGTCGGTCGGATTCCCAAGTCAGATTCCCAGGTCACATTCCCAGGTCATATTCCTAGGTCAGCTGCCCAGGTCAGATTCCCAAGGTCACATTCCCAGGTCAGAATCCCAGGTCAGATTCCCAGGTCAGATTCCCACGTGAAATTCGCAGGTGATGTTCCCGAGTCAGATTCCCCCAAGTCAGATTCCTATGTGAAATTCCCAAGTCAGATTCCCAAGTCAGATTCCCAGGTCAGATTCCCTGGTCAGATTCCCAAGTCAGATTCCCTAGTCAGATTCCCTAGTCAGATTCCCACGTCAGATTCCCAAGTCAGATTCCCAGGTCACATTCCCAGGTCAGATTTCCAGGTCAGATTCCCAGGTCAGATTTCCAGGTCAGATTCCCAGGTGACAATCCAAGGTGAGATTCCCAGGTGAGATTCCCAGGTGAGATTCCCAGGTGAGATTCCTGAGTCAGATTCCCAAGTCACATTCCCAGGTCATATTCCTAGGTTAGCTGCCCAGGTCAGATTCCCGAGGTCACATTCCCAGGTCAGAATCCCAGGTCAGATTCCCAAGTCAGATTCCCAGGTCACATTCTCAGGTCACATTCGCACGTGAGATTCGCAGGTGATGCTCCCGAGTCAGATTCCCCCAAGTCAGATTCGTTTGTGAAATTCCCAAGTTAGATTCCCAAGTCAAATTCCCAGGTCAGATTTCCAGGTCGGCCCGGAGTCAGATGCTCAATTAAGATTCCCAAGTCAGATTCCCAGGTCAGACTCGCAGGTCAGATTTCCAGGTCAGATTCCCAGGTGAGATTCCCAGGTCAGATTCCCTGGTCAGATTTGCAAGTCAGAATCCCAAGTCACATTCTTGAGCCAGATTTCCAGGTCAGATTCCGAATTATTGCCATGAGCATATTAATTTCACTCCAAAATTTCTTTCCCTTTATCAGGATCCCATAAAGTTCCTGTCAAATTCCCTGGTGAGATTTCCAAGTCAGATTTCTGAGTCAGAATCTCAAGTCGGATTACCGAGTCACATTCCCAAATCAGATTCCCAGGTCACATTCCCAGGTCACAATGCCAGGTCAGATTCCTAGATCAGATTCCTAGGTTAGATCCCCAAGTCAGATTCCAAGGTCTGTCAGTTTCCCAAATCAGTCAGAACCCCAAGTCAGATTTGAAGGTGAGATTTTCTGGTGAGATTCCCAAGTCAGATTTCCTAGTCAGAATCCCAAGTCAGCTTTCCAAGTCCGATTCCCAAGCCAGATTCCCACCTCAGCTTTCCAGGTCAGATTCCCAGGTCAGATTCCCAAGTTAGATTCCCAAGCCCCAGGTCAAATTTCCGTTGTCACATATGCGCTCGTATACCCATGGTATATTATTTTTGCATGTCAGGTAAGTATAATCTATTTCCCATTGTCATTTCCAATCTCAGATTCCCGCTTTCAGATTCCTATTTCCAATTCTCAGTGCCAACTTTCCATGCCAGACTTCCATTGTCAGATTTCCGTATCGGATTCATTTGTCAGAATCTCATTGTCACATTCACCCACAGCCACATTCCATTGTCCAATTCACGTGGTCAGATTCTCACTTCAATTTGTTTTCCCCAGATTCCAGCTGACTACGTTCAATGCTGACTACGTTGCAGCTGCCCGAATCCTATATATTCCCCTTTGTTCAATTCTTACTGTCAGATTCTCACTGTCAGAATTCTATGTCAGATTTCTGAGCCAGATGATTCCCATTGTCAGATTTCCGTTGTTACTTATCCATGGCATATACTCATGTCATGTTCCCGCTTCATTTTTCCATGTCAGGTTCGAATTCTCCAATCCCCGTAGTCAGTTCTCTATTGTCAGAATTGCAATTTTAGATTCCCGTTTACAATTCCCAGTGCCGACGTTCCATGACTGACCTCATTGTCAGATTCCCATCTCAGGAATCAACAGTCGAATCCCAATTGTCAGATTCACCCTTAGTCAGGTTCCTTTGTCATAATATGTCGCCAGATTCTTATTGCATATCAAGATAACAACTTTTGATGCTTTCGAACTCTGATGCCTCATTCACCATGCCTCACTCTCTTCCCTGAATCACCATGCCACACTCTCATCGCTAAATCACGCTGCCTCACTCTCATGCCCGAATCACCATTCCCTGTGGTTATATTAGGTTCACTGTCGGAGTAAGGTGAGGTTAGGACATCATGTACCTAAGTTTTCCGGACTTGCTATCCACGTTTGTTAGGAAATAGTGGTTATGACCCCTCTCCTTTCCTCGGCATCCCAGAATAACGTTGCTACCCCATTAGGAAAACCCTATGTCAGAAGATTGCTGATACGATTACCGAACCTTTTCTTTGCCACGCCTTTTGTTCTTACCCAAAAACTAAACCAGCATGAGTGGATTTTTTGCGAGGAATCTACACCCACTGCAGTATGCCTCAATTCACTGAACAGAAATTGGTTTGATCAACGAAGGATCTGTTATCGAATATAGGGTTTGTTAGGTCATGTCTGCTATCGAATCAGGTTGTCCTGCAAATTTCGTGTCTTCCTCACCAGCCTCGAGACCAGAAACTCTAGTTACATGATTGCACACAAACCTATGCACATATGCACACACGCCCATGCATGCATGCACGCATGCACGCCCTTCATTGCTCGCATTCCCATGACTACTTTTCAAGTCTTGTCCCCACACCCCATGGCCTGTCACACACCCATGGCCTGTCACACACACATGGCCTGTCACACACCCATGTCCTGTCGCACACACATGGCCTATCACACACCCATGGCCTGTCACACACCCATGGTCTGTCACACACCCATGGCCTGTCACACACCGATGTCTTGTCACACACCCATGGCCTGTCACACACCCATGCCCTGTCACACACCCATGTCCTGTCACACACCCATGACCTGTCACACACCCATGGCCCTGTCACACACCCATGGCCTGTCACACACCCATGTCCTATCACACACCCATGGTCTGTCACACACCCTTGGCGTGTCACACACCCTTGGCCTGTCACACACCCATGTCCTGTCACCACCCATGGCCTGTCACACACCCCATGGCCTGTCACA